TTTCTGATGTGCAATTTAGGCAGAAGTGAGAATCTAACCATGTCTCTTTTGAGTGCCTGAGGAGATGATTACCCTGTATTTCCCACAGAAAACGTCTGAAAGGATTTAAATGCTCCTACCTAGCAGCTGAGTTAATTATCCAGGCACTTCTGTACAAGCATTCACAAACCACTCTCTCCCCCTACACTTCGTTCTGTGCATGTGCTAAAAGCAGTTCTTGCACTGATCACGGAACAGGTAGTCTAGTTCATAAACACAGAGATATCCCAGTACCTGGGAAACACACAGCCTTCCCCTTCCTCTCACTGAAAACACAGCAAAGACACTGAACAGTGGGGCTGAGCCAGGATTATTTACAGCTGATCTGGCCAACATCACAGGATGGTGTGGCTCCTCAGGCTTCTGGATCACCTAGACCAGAACCATTTCCCCTCTGTTACAAAAAAGAACAATGCTTCAGGCTAACTCTGGCTTCTTACCTAGCAAGTGATGACAGATTCACTAGTTGGGCGTATAGGGACTCACCACCTCTACAGAATTATCTTCTGTTTTAGTTCCTGCTTTGGGTTAGCTAATAGAAAAGGCAATAAGTTAGTTGTACAAATGATAGCTCAGTGGTAAGGTCAATTGGCAGCAAATGTGGGACCTTAAGGACCCAATCCTTGCTCCCGGCTGTGGAGCAATCAGTTGTCTGCACTCCTTTCAAACCACTGCAGTGCATAAGGCTTTGAAGCAATGATTCTGTTTCATGGTGGCCTCCTGCTCTGATCTACAGGGCAGCTAATTAGGCTAAAGCAAGACTGGCAGACAATGAAGGACACTGCAGACACTAAGAAATGCCTGGTAACCTCTGCCATAAGGCAACTGCTGTTTGTTCCTTTCATTCACAAGGGCACTAACATGCCAGAAAGCCTCTCCTGGAGAGGCCTAACTCCAAGTAGAACATTAGAGGGGAAAGAAATGACTACGCAAATAGCCAGAAGCCTGTCAGCTGTGAACACATTTCTCCTAAATCAGTGAAAAACTACTGGGCTAAAACAGAAGTTAGCCAAAAGGAGAGCAGCTGTAACAGGAAAATGGTTGACTGTAAACGCATTCTGAGATGAAACCAAAAATCTAGAAAGTGTGCCCGAACACATTCACTTTTCCAGGAAGAGAAGCTCTGGGTTAATGTATGAATTTACCCTCACAGATACAAAGATCAGCTTTAAAAAGCAAGCAAGGAAACAGGCATCTGCAGCCCCAGGAAAAGAAACCCATCTGCCAGAAATACGGGAAATGAACCCTGTCAGTCACCAGCTTTTGGCCAGGTCAAAGCAAGGAGTGAAATACTGCTCTCCATCCTCCCAGGTAAGTGCTCATACCTTCAGGCCATAGGTTTTAAATGACGCCTTCTCTCTGGCTGGCACGCTCCTCCTTCACTGAATCACAGCAGTCTGCTTGGCTGAGGTTATAGTCACTGCGTACCTCATCTGGGATACTAAGGCCTTCTTCCTGTGAATGATGTCCTACAAAACACATTTTGATAAACTCACCCATGGCACCTTCCAGAAACCCAACACATATAAGTAAGTGACAGGTTTGTTTGTCCCTGTCAGCTACAGAAAATCAGCATGAACCAGCAGAGCTAGGAGAAAAATTTCCATCTGCTCCACACTAAAAGAGCAGTTCACCCAGGAACTGGTCTGTCCTGTGGACTGTGCTGAGAAAAGGTAACTATGACATCATAAAATCTTCATCAGAATAAGAAAAATAACATACTCCACAACTTAATGGTGGCCAAGACACTTATTTTGAGAGGAAACTCTTTGAATTTGTACTAATTTCCGAGAGCTAAGAAAAGTGGCTAAAAAAATCCTACAGGATATCTATTAGGCTGAGCTAGGACCATCTCTGTCTTTTTAAGTGGAGAGACTTACACTTAAGGCTGAGGGTGTAACTAAGCAGAAGTAACAGCTCACAGAGAAGATGAAATGGTAGGTAGTCCCAACTACCTACCACTACTAGCTGAACACTAGGCAGCACTTCCTCACCTGTTCCTTTGCCAGATTTCATCCAATTTTTTTTCAGACACTGTAGCCAATACTTAATTAAATTAGGTGACTTGCAGAAAATGACAACTTCTAACCAGGACGGAAAAGCCTGCCAAGTTCTTTGGATCATACAATAGTTGGGGTTAAAGGATGTCCTTGCTAATTCACATCTTGAAATCAGTTCTACTCAAAGGTATCTAAAATTGTCTAACACATGCTGGATTTTCGGGGGCTGTGTCAATTATCTCTGTTACTTCTTTCCCTATTCCTCAGCAGATTCAGCAAGTTCTCCAGAACATCTTCCTTACATGCAGAAAGCAGGGAAAGAGGCACGTCTTTTAAACTGATTTTTAGATTTGCTTTCCCCATTTCAATATGAATCAGTTGTAAGTTGAGCTGTGTGCCTGTGCACTACTCCCATAATGTGAATTAAACTGAAATTCTAAGTTAAACTGATACCAGCCATA